ACTTCAAATAGGTTTTAACTGGCGATTATTTTAAACAATGGTTTGCTAGTAAAATTGCCTTTCTGACACAAACTTTGTTCTCATTTTTCATTTAAAATTAATAGTTACAGTTAGAAAATATTCTGTAATTAAATAAGAAAAATCAAAGTTTTATAATTACCTAGAACACTTAACGCTATGAGACCAACCCTAAATGACGTCAATATGGGCTATGTTCAAACTATGTTCGTCTGTCAACATCAACATTTTTTAAAGGAATGAACCACTACATACAGATGATAACCGCTTAGAAAATGGCCGGTATATCAAATTTGTTATGTCCCAACAATCCTACACAATTCAATAACATTAAATGTAAGAAATGTTTCATCTTTCAAGCAACAGCCATCTCTATACAACAGCCAATTTTGGACTGTCCCGCTGCTGGCTGTTGTAGGGAGGTTAAATGTAAATAAAAATTATCGAGTCAGAACACTTTCAGCAAATATTATTTCATAACAAATTTGATTCTTAAAAAAGAAGGACACGACTACACCCCCTTCCTGAAGAAATTGTGACTGATCAGTTTTCATATTATCGCTTTTACAACAATAGGCGGTAAGTTATTTTGGAATAGGAATTGTATATATTTCCTTTAAAGACACATTATACCTCAGAAATGAATTTCCTCCTGTTGTAATAATGGATTTAGAATATTTGTGTTTTATCGTCTGCTGAAAATAGCACTGAGTACACTGAATATGAACTAATAGGTGATAAAGATAGCAAATGTAAAACAATGGTATTTGACTTCCATAAAAAACACAAGATAACTTTTAGTGAAGTACATGTGACAAAATACGATTAAGGTATATGGCCAAGGGGTATCCTTTTGGAAATTGTGAAAGGCACTAAATGAAGTTCTTTCAGTCTTAATGGGCCTTTAAGCCTTTTGCTGAAATGTAGGGCCGAAGTACGTTTGGTTATAAAAACTTTTCAAGAAAGCTTTCCAATACGTAGATATATTTAAAAGTGGCAATATCGAATAAATAATATAAAATTTGCGTATGTGAGAAGTTAGCAGTTAACAGTGAGCTAAGCAAAAAGGCATTTCGATTTATATAGGGAAATCAATGATCTGCTGTTATGCTCAGCTGGGTAAGCAATCTAACAGAGCATTCCAAAATAAAGTGTAGAAATGCTTTGCTGGTATGCTCAGCTGGGTAAGCAATCTAGCAGGCTATTACTAAATATAGTGTAAAAATGCTCTGCTGGTATATATGCTCAGCTGGCTAGGCAATCTAGCGGGGCGTTCCTAAATATAGCGTAAAAATGCTCTGCTGGTATGCTCAGCTGGCTAGGCAATCTAGCAGGGCATTCCTAAATATAGTGTAAAAAATACTCTGCTGTTATACTCAGCTGGCTAAGCAATCTAGCGGGGCATTCCAAAATATAGTGTAAAAAGCTCTGCTGTTATGCTCAGCTGGCTAAGCAATCTAGCGGGGCATTCCAAAATAAAGTGTAAAAATGCTCTGCTGTTATGCTCAGCTGGCTAAGCAATCTAGCGGGGCATTCCCAAATATAGTGTAAAAATGCTCTGCTGGTATGGTCAGCTGGCTAAGCAATCTAGCAGGGCATTCCTAAATATAGTGTAAAAAATACTCTGCTGTTATACTCAGCTGGCTAAGCAATCTAGCGGGGCATTCCAAAATATAGTGTAAAAAGCTCTGCTGTTATGCTTAGCTGGCTAAGCAATCTAGTGGGGCATTCCAAAATAAAGTGTAAAAATGCTCTGCTGTTATGCTCAGCTGGCTAAGCAATCTAGCGGGGCATTCCAAAATATAGTGTAAAAATGCTCTGCTGTTATGCTCCCTTGATAAGCAATCTAGCGGGCTTTCCAAAATATAGTGTAAACATGATCTGCTGTTATGCTCAGCTGGCTAAGCAATCTAGCGGGAAATTCCAAAATGTAGTGTAAAAATGCTCTGCTGAATTGCTCAGCTGGCTAGGCAATCTAGAAGGGCATTCCTAAATATAGTGTAAAAATGCTCTGCTGGCAAGCTCAGCTGGCTTAGCAATCTAGCAGAGCGTTCCAAAATATAGTGCGAAAAATGCTCTGCTGGTATGCTCAGCTAGCTAAGCAATCTAGCAGGGCATTCCTAAATATAGTGTTTAAAATGCTCAGCTGGCTAAGCAATCCAGCAAAGCATTCTGAAAATTAGTGTAAAAATGTACTGCCGGAATGCTGAGCTGTCTAGGCAAACAAGCAGGACATTCTTAAATAAATTATAAATTTCGTTGGTCTGCAACTGATTATTTGGCACTCGTAGACTTTCTAAAATATTTAGTGCCAATGCAGATAATGACATTTTTTACTTCTACGGGACCCTTAAGTGTGTATTTCTTTGGTCTCCGACTGATTCTGCGACGATCGCAGACTTTCAGGAATTTTTGGTTTTAATGCAGATAATGACATTTGTGAATTTTTAGGACCATCCAGAGTCCATTTCGTTGGTCTGCGAATGTTTCTGGAACACTCGCAAACTTTCAGAAATTTTCGGTGCCAATGGAGATAATGCCATTTTTACTTCAAAAGGACCCTCCTGAGTCTATTTCGTTGGTCTGCGACTGATTATTGGGCACTTGCAGACTTTCAGGATTTTTTGGTGCTAATGCAGATAATGACATTTTAGGGTAAAAATGCTCTGCTTATGACTAAGGGGTCCTTAAAAGTTAAAAGGTCATGATCTGCAATGGCACTAAACATCCTGAATATCTGCGAGTCTCAAGGAATCAGTCGCAGACCCAAGAAATGTACTCTGGCGGATCCCTAAAAGTCAAAAATGTCATTATCTCCATTGGCATCAAAATTCCGGAAAGTCTGCAAGTGTCCCAAAATCAGTCGCAGACCAGAGAAATGAACTCTGGTGGGTCGCTAGAAGTCAAAAATGTCATTATCTCCATTGGCACCAGAGATTCCTGAAAGTCTGCGAATGTCCCAGAATCAGTCGCAGACCATAAAAATGGACTCTGGCGGGTCCCTAGAAGTAAAAATTGCCATCATCTCTATTGGCACCAAACTTTCCTGAAAGTCTGCGAATGTCCAACAATACGCTGCAGGCCAATGAAATGGACTCTTAAATGTCCCTAGAAGTCAAAAATATGATTATTTCCATTGGCACCAACCATTCCTGAAAGTCTGCGAGTGTCCAAGAATCAGTCGCAGACGACCAAAATGGACTCTTGAGGGTCCCTAGAAGTCTTAATTGTCAATATCAGCATTGGCACCAAAATTCCTGAAAGTCTGCGAGTGTCCTTCAAAAAGTCGCAGGACAATGAAATAGTCTCTTAAAGGTCCTTAGAAGTCAAAAATATCATTATTTCTATTGGCACCGAAAATACCTGAAAGTCTGCGAGTGCCTCAGAATTGCCTAGAAGTCGAAAATGTCAATACAACTTTGGCAACAATAAATCCTGGAACTCAGAATTAGTCTGCCAACTGAGCATTCCACCAGGGCATTTTTTAACTATATTTCGGAATGCCCTGCTAGATTGCCTAGCCAGCTTAGCATTTCACCAGAGCATTTTTACACCATATTTAGTAATGCCCTGCTAGATTGCCTAGCCAGCTGACATTCCACCAGAGCATTTTTTCACTATATTAAGGAATGCTCTGCTATAGTGCCTAGCCAGCTGAGCATTCCAGCAGAGCATTTTTACACTATATCTAGTAATGCTCTGCTAGATTGCCTAGCCAGCTGAGCATTCCACCAGAGCATTTTTTCACTATATTAAGGAATGCTCTGCTATAGTGCCTAGCCAGCTGAGCATTCCTGCTGAGCATTTTAACACTTTATTTAGTAATGCCCTGCTAGATTGCCTAGCCGGCTTAGCATTCCAGCAGAGCATTTTTACACTATATTTCGTAATGCTCTGCTAGATTGCCTAGCCAGCTTAGCATTCCACCAGAGCATTTTTACACTATATTTAGGAATGTCCTGCTAGATTGCCTAGCCAGCTTAGCATTCCAGCAGAGCATTTTTACACTATATTTAGTAATGCCCTGCTAGATTGCCTTGCCAGCTTAGCATTCCAGCAGAGCATTTTTACACTTTATTTCGTAATGCTCTGCCAGATTGCCTAGCAGCTTAGCATTCCAGCAGAGCATTTTTACACTATATTTAGCAATACCCTGCTAGATTGCCTAGCCAGCTTAGCATTCAAGCAGAGCATTTTTACACTATATTTAGTAATGCCCTGCTAGATTGCCTAGCCAGCTTAGCATTCCAGAAAAGCATTTGTTCACTATATTTAGTAATGCTCTGCTAGATTGCCTAGCTAGCTTAGCATTCCAGCAGAGCATTTTTACACTGTATTTAGTAATGCTCTGCTAGATTACCTAGCAAGCTTAGCATTCCAGCAGAGCATTTTTTTCACTATATTTAGGAATGCCCTGCTAGATTGCCTAGCCAGCTTAGCATTCCAGCAGAGCATTTTTACACTATATTTAGTAATGTCCTGCTAGATTGCCTAGCCATCTTAGCATTCCAGCAGAGCATTTTAACACTATATTTAGTAATGCACTGCTAGATTGCCTAGCCAGCTGAGCGTTCCAGCAGAGCATTTTTTCACTTAAGCTAGGAATGCTCTGCTAGATTGCCAAGACAGCTGTGCATTACAGCAGGTCATTACCTTCCCTATATAAATTGAAATGCCTTTTTGCTTAGCTCACTGTTCACTGCTAACTTCTCACATACAAAATTTGCTCTAAACATTATGGCGTGGTTCGTCAGTTTTTTTCTCAATTTTGATATATTTGTTTGCATAACAAGTTGAACCCGCTCGTTTTTCAAGCATATAAGCCCAAGAGCTTCAGATATATAGTTATACTTACAAATGAATGTTAAAAAATTGTTATTTAACCTTTGATCCTAAAGTAAAATATTGAGTTTTGCAAAAGGCACCTGAATATTTCGCGCGACATTCCGCCTAACTATGGAAAACATTTTTCAAAAGAAATATTAAAACCCCTCAAGGCATGTAGAAGTTACGCTCGGAACCAGGTTTAGGTCCGACCTCCGAAGTGTGACTAAATCTTTAAGCAGCGGACTTTGGTTTTGCGTGTGACACACCATCCCATCATGGTAAACATTTGTATCAAGATTTTTGTAGTCCTTCAAAGAATGAGCAAGTTATAGACAGGATAAATATAGACGGACGCAGAAACCCATGGACGCACATAAACCGAACCCAAAAAGTGAAAAGTGGCGACTAAGTCGACCTCACCACAAGAGGACGTAATTATAAAAATCCTCTGACCACGAAGCATTTAACTTCAAAGCAAAAGCAAGAAAAAGCGCAAACAAACAATTTAAATATGTTTATTTGACATTTAACCCCTAGGTGTGACATTGACCTTTGTTACATACATCTGAATTTTAAGCGCGAGACTCCTCCTCATTTTGGTGAACATTTGTCCTGAGTTATATTGAAATCTCTCAACGCATGTGGATATTATGCTCCGGACACAGATTTTGCGCTAACCCACCATCCCATTCCCCTACTCTCCCACGGTGAGTCCTTGACCTTTGAACGGTTTTTTGTGCGACACACCATTATTCGCATAACCATAATTATTTTGTAATCCTTTAATAAAGCAAGATACCGCGCCCAAACACACATTTTGATATTTTAATTGGGCATTTGATCTTTTGTGACATTGACCTGCATTTTGCGCGAAACAACTTAACTCAACATAAAGAATAGTTGTGCTAAGTTATAATAAAACCAATCCATTATTAAAGAAGTTATATACTCTCAATTAAATGTTTAATTTTGTTTACGATATTTGACCCCTAAGGATGACCTTGACCTTACCACAGACTTTTGTGGCGCTAAAATTCAACTTGCTATGGAGAACATGTGTCCACAATTATATTAAAACTCCTCCATGAACGTGGAAGTAACGCTCCGGACACCAGTTTTTAAAACTTTAAAATCTTCTTTTTCAAAACTCAAAGATATTTGCCTTGAACAATTTTTCCAGTAAGTGTTTATTAAGTTTGTTCAAATAAAAACCCTGAGCGTCCTGGGGGTGTCATTGATTCCTTATTATGTATATAATAAAAACTTGAAAATGTTCTTTTTAAAACCCAAATAGCTAGACCTAACATATTAAGCATGAAACATCTTCTAATTGGTGTCAACCAAGTTTGTTCAAATAAAAGCCATGTGGTCAAAATTGGCCCCGTCCCGAAGGACATTGATTTTCCTAATATGTATGTACTAAAAACTTAAAAAATCTTCTTTAAAAAAAAAACACAAGGAACTAGAGCTTTAATATTCAGCGCAAAACATGTTCTAGTGTTAACCATTTTTGTTAAAAAACCCTGGGGTGAAAATTAGCCCCCAGGGGCACATACAAATACGAGTATAAATCATAGCCTCGTGTTTCGATGCGCTTTTTATTACTTACTAGTATTTAACGCATGATATAGTTTCATGATAGTAGTATCATTCTTTTATTCAAATTAGACATATTCAGTAACATGTCAGGGATAAGCATAGTATATCTTTAATTATTCAGACCCTGACTATTGAACTAATATTCAAGCCCCACTATATATCAGAAATCCTTTTGTTACTCAAAAGCTTTGTTCTTTAATTCTTGGCGCCCTGATGTAGTTATCAAAATCTTAATCATTAGTCAATTGACGATGCCATCTTTTGATTGTGTCACTTATTTTGCAATTAATGGGGTATTAATTAGTTAGTATTTTGTATGGAAGTCAAGGTATTATTGCGTTTACATTTTGTCATTTTCATTAAAAATACTCTTTTCTAAATTTCTTTTTTAAGGCCCTGATTGCACTTCTGACATTTTTACCTGCAAATCCTGCATTTGGTCTTTTTGAAATTTATCTCAAATTCTTCATTCCAGTGTGTCTTCTACTTTCAGTATTTAGAAATATAACTACCGTATCTTAAGTCTGGGTATTAATAGAAACCCTTATTTAAGTTTGACACGGAAAAATGCTTGTAATATTACTATAATAGTCCCCTTAGTTACTTTTTTTATTTACTGCTTGTATATTTGATACATTTATAATATTAAAAAAACAGACTTTGTTCATTTGGACTTCTGTTTTGTTTTTGTTTTTTTTTTGTTCAAAAGAATATAAATTTTATATTTTAATATCAAGCAAGCCTAACAATGTTCAATATGAACAATGTCTTTCGTCCGCCCATTCATTAATAATATACAATTCTGGTAAATCCAATGAACCATTGAACAGTTTAGAAGCAGACATCTGGTCATCAGATGTTTACTAGTTCATCGTCTCTTGATGCATTTCTTGCTTGGACGTCATTTGATACTTTGCATCAATGCTTTTCTTGTACTCTATTGTTATGTACCGAACTCTTTTGTTCACTTTACAATTTGGAGGACTCTTTTATCTATTTTTGGTACAGCTGACGTACATACACACACGAACGGAGACGATATCTGATTTCTCTTTTGCTTTTAATGATGATATAATAACTTACCTGATTTAGCCTTTTCATATTCTAACTGTTTTTTTTGTTGAGGAGAATCTTCTTCCTTGAGTCTTTTTATCTCCTACAACAAAAATAATAGTACAAATAATTGTGTTTTATTTGGTAATTTTCAAAAATGATTGTACAAAGTATTATTGGAATTTCCGGCAGTCTGCCTAACACACAGTGTCTTAATATTTCTCAAAAATATCAAATTAAATTATTACTGATGAAGTGCTGGGATATTGGAATTTCCTCCAATAAAAATTAATTTTTAAATCATTGCTGTTTCTTTTAATTACGCGTTTTTAGTGCAATCGTGCATACTTTACTTAAGATTAATGCAAGTGAAGGATAATAGAAGGTCCAAAATTTATAATTATGTAAGTTACCCTTTTCACATTGATACGCTTTTTTTTTATTTGTTTTTTTTTTATTTGCAGAAGTCTTAAGTTGTTACATTTTTTCAAACATTTCATGTACTACGGTATTTGAGATCAAGTGCTAGATAATACATCAATAAGGTCATCATCACTCAGCCGATTCTTTATAGTTAATATGTAACACTTAAGCCATATCTTCAGGTTTGTTTTTATAAGTAAGGGACCTATTTATATTACTTTTAGAGGACAGTTTAGGCTACAGCACGTTCAATTTGCTATTAGTTTTTATCTGAGATATTTACATACCTCGTCTTAAAATTGTTTACCTTATGTGACTGTTGTCATTTGTATATGTTTCCAAAAGGATCATTCTTGTAAAGGTTGTTTAAAATGGTATTGCATTGTTGAGATGCCGGCAAGTTGTTAAAGGGATTATGAACACTTAAAAAACTTACAGAGCAAAGTCATACTAAAATTCACCACGTTGGTGATGTCACAAGTGTCATTTGTCTTAGACTAGAATGAATAAAATGTCTATTATCATTTATTGCAAAGTAAATAAGTAAGATACAAGTTAAATATCTATACGCCGGCAGTATAAACTGGTTTGATTTTGGGAAAATGTTCATCCTAACGGCATTTTTCAGTACAAGCAGGTTGTTCAGCTTACTTGCCTATTTCGCGTAACTGAATTCATTTTTTTTGCTCAACCACGGCAGTATTTTTAGTCCTTGACCGTTAAAAATCAATTACAAAATGGCCGCCATTGAATTTTTTAATTTTACTTTAATTCTCCAATGAGCGAGATATAAACACATTTTTTGGCATTTTAATGTAAGGCTTTGTTAATTTTAGTCTGCTAAAGGATGAACGAGAAGAATAGATGCAAAAACCATAAAAAAATATTGAGGCAGCCATTTTGGATTTCAAAATGGCTGACAATCACCTATGTTTTATACACTATATTATATTTAAAGTAAACAAGCCAAAGAAGACATTTTACAAGGCTTGTTTTCTTTTATTAGAAGTGCAATGATACTGATTAAGACTTACAAGCGCAGACTTTGAAAAATATCCATTAAAACTACAAACTTTATGGTGCAAAAAGGTCACACTTAAAACGTAATACAATGTAAATGTAATACATTGTAAATGCGAGTCATATTTGCGGTCACTTTTTCATTTAGATGTTATTTTTGTATCTCTAAGAATACATTACATATTCTTTAAAACTATTGCGGTGGTTTGTAAATTGGTTTGCATCGCCTTGAAGGAGCCATGCTCAAATATCTGTCCGTCTGTCTATCTGTCCGAGCGTCCTCTTGTGTCCGTTAGGGATATTTGCGATCACAATAATGGCGTTGAGATTATTTCTGTATACGCACGACCTTTAGGATGACTCATTTGTTTATATAGGTAATCCGACAAGAACATGGCGCTTGGCGTGCTCAGTAGATACACCTGTGTAAGGTTTTTTGTCGTCTATTTTGTTATCATGTGGTATTAAATTCTCTGTTTTGACTGAGATATATGACTGCGTTCATTGAATGCCGCCTTTCCTTGTCGATCTTGTTTATCATATTGACTGACCTATGGGTAAAAATTGTAAATCTTGTTAATTGCAAATGAAACCGTCCTGGAACGACAATAACTTTGCGTAAATGTGTAATTTGAAAAGGTTGTGCCATGCGCAAGAGCACGACCAGCATGGTTGTGGTAAAGTTAAACTTATATAACATAAATCATGATATAAATGTGAAAGTTGGTTTATAACTTTTGAAATAATTGATGCCGTTTAAAACAATTGTGCATAAATATATGGCACATTGAGAGAATGAGTCATGTAAAACCCATATGATGATGTAGATCAAAGACCAAAGTTATGCTTTCACTCAGAACAAAATATTTTCTAAAAGTACCCAAACTGTTGGCCAACGTTTCTGTCATTCATGGATGTACTAAAAATATTTGGCAAAAATGTGCCTCTGTAATACGAAATGTAGGGAACAAAGGTTCCAAGGTCATACTTGAATACAAAAGTCATGATTTGAAAGTACATTGGTGATCATGTCCAGTTTACATAATGGTAATTCAGCCAGAGCAGCAAAAAATTACGTGGTATTGTACTTTGAAACAATGTCTTCAATGTTAATCAAATGTCATGAATCCTTCAACGAGCCCAGCTTCGGGAACATTTCAAGTGGCACGCCCTTGCTTATTTTTGTATTACATAATTTTTGGATAATATAATCAAAAAACTTTTGTTCATATTTCAGTCACTAAAATTACACAAAGTAATTTTATGGAGAGTTGAAACATATTGGGAAATATAATATTTCATTATGGAATAAGATACTCTATCTATTTCTTGAACGATAGCCAGGTAAAATAGGTTTATCTATCTTAGTCCCTTGAAGGTTTTTTAGAAAACATGAGATAGAGTAAGTTGCAGCGTCCTTGGTAATGTGGCATATAATGTGCAGGCTGATATCAAATAAGATAATGACGTTATTACATTAATCAAGCTGACAATTTAAAGCAATATAAGTAGCTACATCAATACAACAATTAAAAACATATTGTACAAACCATCAGCGATGTTTCACAATTCCACGTTTAAATTATAAATTCTGCTTAGGCCGGTGCTAGGGGGGCCTTGACGGTACCTTACAATTTCCAGTACAGTCCGAGAACAGGCTCAATCAAACCGAGCCTGCAATGTTTTAAATTTGCCGTGTTGAGCGTTTTTCGGGATTCTGTTTTTTTTTTATTTTATACCGGGTCGTTCAGCAGATGTCGGCCGCAGTCTGCGGAAGATGAAGGCAATTTTTAAGATATTTACATACTGACTTTACTCTTGACGATCAAATTATAAAATGATTTTATGTTCCAAAATTTTTTAAATGTTGTTTTATCAAAATGTAAACTTAAACATCTAATGGTACATTAAATTGTGCAGGTTTAAATGTTACACATTTTGGACCTCAGATACCTGACATAGATTAATTTAGTTTGAAGTAATGATGTCATTAACAATTTAACTGTTCAGTATACCTACATATTGTGTATAACTCTACATGACATGTTGCTTATATCATTAGTATATTTTTGATAATTATTCTAACAGAAGGATCCGTTTGTTTTAAAGCACTTTACTTGTATTTGTTAAATTAGGTGTCCATTTTGAGATTAAAGATGGCCGCCATAGTATTCAATGTGTAAATCATGTTTGATTATCAACCAATAATGCCTAAAAGTAATTGAAACTTAATTCCATGTAGATGAAAGGATATACAATACACTATAAACAAAGAAATACTAAATTATGAAGTAGATGGTAAAAGTCAATGGCGGCCTTTTTGATTTGACCTTTAGAAGGTCAAAGACTTTGAGTACAGCCGTGGATGAGCAAAAAATGGATTCAGCGTATCCAAATTATGTAAACACAATTGACTATCCGCTTGTACTAAAATGCCGTTATACTCTTAACAGACGGTCTTTTCTGAAAATCAAACCCGTCTAGTAGAATTTTTGTTAAAGTCAGTTATTGAAGTAACAAAACTTGTGAAATATGTATACAGTATAAAAAGTAAGGACGGGCCATATCTTATGCAGGTTAAAAGGAATTCTAACTTCCTTTGATCTTGAATAGTTACGTGTTGTGGCAATCAACCATAAAAAATTTATGTACACGAGGTCATCAAAATTGCACTGTGTGTACATTATGAACAAAGATTCGTAGAACACTAAATATCCCCCTTCATACATCTGTTAGTGGCCTTTGACCTTCTGATCTTAAAATCAATAGGGATCATCTGTGAATAATGATCACTTTTCCTACCAACTTTATTGATCATAGGACAAAACATACTGAAGCTATCATCCAAAATGGTCTTACCATTTTTGGTCACTTGAACTTGACATACTTATCTCAAAATCAATAAAGGTTATATACCAGTGATGATTAAATGATTCTCAGCAATGTTTTAGCATTTTGGGTCACTGTGACCTTGATCTTGGACCTACTGACTTCAAAAGAGATAGGGCTCATCTGCCAATGATAAACTTTCTCTATTAAATTTCGTGATCCTGAACCAAAGCATATTCAAAAATCATCCGGAAATGGTCTTATTATTTTGAGTCACTGAGACCGTGACCTTTGACGTAATGACCTTAAAATAAATAGGAGTCATCTGTCAGAGGTTATCAATCCCCATATCAACAATGATCCTAGGCCGAAGCGTACTGAAGTTATCCTTCGGAGATAGTTTAAGCATTTTCGGTCAATATGACCTTGATTTTTGACCTGCTGAACCCAAAATCAATAGGTGTCATCTGCAAATTATGAACGAACTTCCTGACAGACTGAAAAATCTAAATGAAGATCAATATCTTAAGCTTGTACAGAAAGGTGTTAGTAAGCTTTGTGGTTTCATAATGGCCCTTTTTTGCACCCACTTTAGGGTGAGGGCATTTGGATTTCAACTTTGCCCGTCCTTAAAAAATTACCATGGTTGTATGTACATGTACTGGAATATCAGCCGGAAACAGTTTATAGAAACTTCATGTTTTACCTCTTGTGCTTTTGATATCTGAGATTCAAGGTCAGATATTTTGTTTTTAAGCTCGTCATATTCCTCTTTAGTAGCAGCATTTCCTGTTGCTTCTTTGATTTGGCTGAGAATTTCGTCAAAGCCTTCAGTTGTAATAATGAAGTCCTCCTTCTTCAGCTGATGAAAAAAATAATTATTTTCTATTTTCTTTCAGATGTTAAATTAGACCTTTTCGATTTATGATATTAACCCTTATATACAACATATTATGTATAATAGGTAAGACATTATTTCTAAATTATCTCAATTGATTGTTATTTAATTTGTTTTTGCTCATACTTATATAAAAACGTTTATGACAGTATGTATGGTATAGGTATCTGATAGTCAGATTTTTTATTTACTTCTTTTTGTTCATACCTATACAATTAAAATCATATTCTGTTTCATTTATTATAACGTTTTATAGGTATCTGAGTTTGATTTCATAAATGTCAGTTAATTTAACGCAGTTGTTATTTAAAATTGACTTTAATAAAAACCACTCTGAACACTTTTTCCAAATACTCTAAAGAATTACTCAATTAAGAGATGTGTAATTTTAGAATATAACTGAATTCCATCAGGATCTCAAATTATATATGTTAATATTTATTATTTACACTTACATCTTGGAGTTTCTCAACAGCTTGTTGTGCAGCATGATGATAAAGAAGCTCCTTTCCATCTTGAAGAACTGCTATCATATCATCAATGTAACAGTTAGCATCATTTTCCTCTAACTCCATGCTGCTTGAGTGAAAAATCTTATTTCTGTACTGTCGTACCTGAATGGAAAACAAATCTAAGTCGAACATATACGCATAATTATATGCAATATATATGATTATACTGTTTTCAGCACTGAGACTAAACAAGACTCTTATAATTAAAACAGTACTGTTAAACGCGTTACCCGACTGCTTCGGATAAGGACCTCGAGCACAATAGTGAGAATACACAACGGAATCGGCAAAATGAATTTATCCGCGCGCAAATCTCCAGGGTCACAAGTCCACATGCTTTGCCGATCGACATTTCTGTACGGTCTGGTGACTCTAGCTCAAGAAATCTTAGCTACCGACCTACATGTGACACAACATGAACAAACACACGTACACGGACAAGGGACATCAATATACTACCTTACCCAAACTAGCACGGGTAGTGGAAACAAAGAAAATTTAAAGCTTTGCTTAAAAATGTACACCTTATAAAAATAACATTTCTTGCATAATTCATTTTGAATCATCATTCATCTTGGTAAATTGCCTCTCAGGCAAAACAATTACACTAGTCTCGCTTACCGGTATATAGAAATAAAGTCACCTTAGTGCAGTTATTGGTTAAATACTATTTTAAATCTTGTAAGAAAATCACAAGCTTTCCTGTAAGATTTGGTCCATATTCAACATTAGTGCAGTGACGGATTATTGCTTATTATAGTGATGTTGTTAGAGATTAAAATTAAACAACAAATATACAAAAATATTTACCTTTGAAAAAAGATTGTTTGGTCCTGTTACATTGCATCCAATATGATTATGAAAATATTTGTTATTTGTGATAACATGTAGTAAACCCGAGCAGTCAGTGTCGACTGCTGATGTCTTGTCCTTGTACCCGGGAGCATTTATAAAACATTTACAGACACTCCATGGGTCAACGGACCAATCATGGGCATCGCTGTTTTTCCAAAAAGGTGCCGGTGGTATTGATGCATGATACTGTATAATGCTGTCATAGATGGCACCACATACATTGTTTGGACAAGGTTTCTTATTATTTGGAAAGCAACAGTTACATTTATCTTGCTTGAATGGACACACTCCTTTTGAGACTCGGACGTGATCTGGCTGGAGAGTTGTTATCTGACAGACGCCACATGGTGCATTTGGTTTAGGAGTCTTTGTTCCTTGAATTTGGTTTATAATATCTTTGTGCTGAAGTGTTCCTATGTCATCACAAAATGGTGCTAGTCCCTCTTTCAGGTAACCTAAGCCTAGGCCTGCCTTGACCCACTGTCGGTATTTGTTGTTCTTTAAATGTATCTCGTGCGCCATCACGATATCTAGAGAAAAAAAGAGAAAAAATTGTAACTACATTTGTAGAATACAATGATAACCAATTTAAACTATGACTGAACACAAACAGTTCTATGCCCCGAAAGCTTGGCCGAGTAAATGGACCGTGACATTTGACTAACAATTAAGACATGGTCACTGTCACAAAAGGATTATGTTGGCCCTAGATCTCCCACCTCAGATTCATTGATAGAAAAGGGCATCATTCCCCAATACAGAAGTAGATAATCGTGTCACATTTGGACATGTCTGACAGTGCTTCAGACAAGATGCGTATTTGCATAAACACGCAGTCAAATTTTTTCCCAAATAAATATAAATCATAACAGCATTTCAATTGTTTGAATAAAATATTCATTTTATCATCAGCATACAAATTAGCTTAAGCAAAGCGAACGGGATGAAAGGTGGTTTAAAAATTTGCAAATTAAGGCACCAAAAACAATTAAACAATTTATACGTCACAGCACGTGTTTTCTGTTTGGTATCACATTTCAAATGGGTCTAGTAAAAAGTTTATATAGGGGGGTTTAGCATTATCAATCCTGATAGTTTATTGAACCATTACAGTTTATTGAACCAGAATGTTACACAGAACGGATGTCTAAAATTAAGTTCATCTATAAGCCACAAAACAAACTCTATGTTCTGTTGTAAAAATTTTCAACAAAGGGAATAACTTTCTATCTATTTTACTTAATTGGTATCAATTGAGTGAATGATATAGTTCCCTTGGTTAGAAGAATTTTAAGACTTGGTACGAATTCAAGAACAAGGGCACCGAAAGGGAGGGCTAAATACGCCCGGATGTAAATTTGTTTCTGTAATGAAAATAATCTTCCAATTAAGGTAGAGACGCAATTAACCTGACTGAAAAATATTTTATCTTAATTATCCTAACGATACTGTATGACTTCCAAGGTGGAAGCAGATTTGCCCGTAAGTGTGTGGTAAATAAAACTTTAATAGAGGTCTACCAGGCAATGACATACACCAAAATAGTAACAAAGGATTTATCTACAACTTTTTCTTACTAGTATGGTCAACACATTAAAGACATTTTATTCCAATAAAAAAATGTACTGTCTTGACGGTCAATGTCACAATTTATCCTCATTGCCAGTTTTATAATAAGTGGTCTTTTGCTTGATGAAAAAAATAAAAATATGTTTTTGAAAAATCATCACCTTAACTGTTAATTTTTCATATTTTTCTTAACTCGTAAATGACTTCTAAAAAACTTTACACTCTATATTAATTTTTCCGTTTTTTTTAAATTTTTATTGGTCATTAAGTCATTTTAAAACAATCATAAGTTAAGATATTTTGGAAAGTAAAATAAATGCAAATAGAGAATTAATTAATTTATCCTCCAGGTTAATCCAACTTATCAATTGGTATAAAGAGATTTGATTTTTGAAACTAAAAAAAATGTTAAAACTAAAGATAGTTATTGCAATTGCAGCAAATTTCAATATTGTTACCATGCAAGGTCACTTTAAGGTCAATACCACATCAGAATAATTCAACACGCATGTTTGGCATAAGTTTTTTTTTTCAAGAATATATACACTTTGTAAATATATAACAAAGTTATTACAATTCAACAATAATTTGACCTTTACTGACTAATTCAAGTCAAGATCGAGTCAAATAAAGTCTCCTTTTATTTCTGGTTCCATACATTGTGCCCAACTACGAAGACAATCCATTTATTGCTTACAAAATTATACCAAATTATTGCAAAAGAATAGCCTGTGAAATAACAATTATATGACATCAAGGTCAATGTATTTTATAAGTCAAGGTCAAGTTTTAAGATATTGTCCTAATGGTAGATGTGCTCAAGTTTAAACACGACATTCATAAAATATAAAGATATAACCAATTAAAATGAAGCAAAATTCAATAATTTTAATAATAATCTTCAAGGTAAAGGTCATTGATGGGTAAAGGTCATAATAAATTGGTTTTGTCAAACGATTTCTTTCTTAGGATTTTTGTGCCCTAGTGTGAAGACAATCCATTCAAAAATACAACATTTACAACCAATAAAGCAAAATTAAATGATTTGACATTCAAGGCCGTGGTCATTGATGAGCGACGTTCATAATCAATTTTTTCTGCATAAATGTTTTGTCTGAAGAATAATTGTGTCCAGGTTTGAAAACAATTACAGCTTAAATCAAGCAAACTATTTGATTTTGAAGGTATGTCATTTATGAGTGACAGTCAACTTCAGTCTTGTCAACTTAAAGATCTTGTCTGACGGGTGGTTGTGTTCTTATCGAATAGAAGGCAATCCATTGAAAAATAAAACACAAGCTATGATCAACGTTTATTTTTCAGAGCGGTAACCGCAACATCAACGACATCATAACTTTAGCAATAGCTCTCTTTTTTCTTTAAAAAAAGTCAAGATAAAATGATTAAACTGCAAACCATTCCTTATTCGATATTTGTTAAAATTCAATGAACTCAATGAATAAAACAAAATCAAGCTTGCAAGGGTTAGGGTTAGGGTTATAATAATATTATGTCCCCCCCCCCTTTCGAAGAAGAGGGGGTACATTGTTTTGTTTAAGTCGGTCGGTAGGTCGGTCCGTGAGTCAGTATGTCGGTCGGTAGAACATATGCTTTCCGCTGTTTATCTTAAATACTATTTTTCACAAAGTCTTCATATCCACATACTGATTGGCTGATGGATCCTATTGATTTTGGGGTCACTAGGTCAAGTGTCAATGTCACAGGGGCTTTAAATGTCAGAATGGTTTCCGCTGATTATCTTGAAAAACATTCATTACAAAGGTTTCATATTTAGCACAGAGATTGGTCATAACTAGAAGATAATGCTTCTTGATTTTGGTGTCATTAAGTCAAAGGTCAGGGTCACAGGGGCCTTAAATGCCAGAATAGTTCTGCATATTATTTTTAATACCATTTATCAAAAAGTCTTCATATTTCACACAGTAATTGGTCATAACCAGGAGATTAGCCTTTTTGAATTTCGGGTCACTAGGTCAAAGGCCAAGGTCACATGGGCCTTTTATGTCAGAATATATCCCCTCATTATCTTGAAAGCTAGTTTTCACAAAGATTCATATTTAACATATTGATTGGTCATAGTAGATGACTCCTAATGATTTTTAGGACACTTGTTCAAAGGTCAAGGTCACAGGGGCCTTAAATGTCAAACTTATTTTTGCTTATTATCTTGAAGACAATTTATCACAAAATGTTCATGTTTCACATACTGCTTGGTCATAACTAGTAGGTGACCCCTATTGATTTTGGGGTAAGTAGTTAAAAGGTCAAGGTCACACATACCTTAAATGTCAGAATGGTTTCCGCTCATATTTCAAATATTGATTGGTCATTACTAGTAGATGTCCCATTTCGTTATTGGGATCACTATGTCAAAGGTCAAGGTCACAGGGGCCTTGAATATCATTATGTTTTCCATTCATTATCATGAAAACTATTTAACACAAAGGTTTTCATATTATACACATTGAATATTCAGATGTAGTAGATGATCAATATTTAGTTTGGGATCACAAGTCAAAGGTCAAGGTCACAGGAGCCTTAAATGTAAAAATGATTTCTGCTTATTACCTTGAAAACTTTTTATCACATAGTCTTCATATTTCACATATTTATTGGTCATAATGGGCTGACTGGTTCAAAGTTCAATATCTTTATATTTTACATATTGATTGGTTATAACTATAAACAAGAAGGTCATTTTTTCCATAACTGTCTTCTTCCATGTACCCATTTATGGCAGGTTGTTTCTTTAACAGAATTACCAAAAATGTGAGTAAAGGGCTACTTGCTCAACTTGTTTTTTTTGTGGTTGTATTATAGTCGCCCTGGCGGGCTGGTGGCTGGGCGTGCGGCTTGACAGGCGTCGTCTAATTTTCATCCGGAGCATATCTACTACACGCCGTCATGAATTTTAATGGAAGGCGCCAAACCTTTATGTCAAAGGTCAAGGTCACACTTAGAGGTTATTGAAAAACGTTTATCCGGAACACAACTTCTACATGCATAAAGGGATTTCAATATTTCTTGGCACAAATGTTCACTATTGTGAGGCGGAGTGTCGCGTGCAAAGTTTAGATCCCTGTGGTTAAGGTAAAGGTCAAACATTGGGGTCAAAGTTCAGACATTGAAACACAAATAGTCATTATCATGACTACTGGTGTGAAACATGTAAATTAGATTAATATATGCAAGGTCAAGGTCACCATAGATGATTGCCAATGTCACTATAGATGATAAAATATAGAGATTTTGTCCAAAACATTTCTCCTACACAAATGGAGGGATTCTAATGAAACTTCATACCAATGTTTACCACTATGAGAAGCCGTGTTGCGCATATTTACCAGGCCTCTAGATCAAAGGTCATGGTCACACTTGTTAATCATAGAAACATGCTTGTCCGGAGCAAAAATTTTACATGAATAGAAGGATTTCAATATTACTTGGTATAAATGTTCAATATTGTGAGGCAGAGTGTCGCGCGCAAAATGTAGGTCACTGCAGCCAAGGTCAAGGTAACACATAGTGGTCAACGTTCAGATAAAATATGAAAATGTGTATTGGGACCATTACGTCATCAGACTGAACACACAAATTGTCATTATCATGACTACAGGTGTGAAACATATAATTAAGGGTTATATATGCAAGGTCAAGATCACTAAAGATGATTGTCAAGGTCACTTAAGATGTTAAAGTATAGAGAGTTTGTCCAGAGCATATCTCCTACACATACGAGATCAATGCCCACATCTCTGTCAAAAGCTTCTGTGACGGGCGTATATTGCGACAATTTTGCCCTTGTTTCAAAATAAAATTATCTGTGTTATATCAGTTGCTGATCCTCACTATGTGAAAAAAATGTATTGTTTATTTCACCAGTGTTTGGGTATTCTTATAATTAGTATGTATACAAAATTGAAAAATTGAAAAAAAATGCGATTTTTGGCTAAAATTGCATTCCTAATTCGCCTGTCGGCCATGCCTACGGAAAACATGTAGTCCGAGTTGCATACTAAACAATAGTTTTCTTGTAATTGATAACACGCCTATCCAATAACCTGCTGAACTTTGATCTGAATCCAAATCAGTCAGTCAAGCTCAACTTTTGTACATATTAAGTATCATTCAGTGAATAACTGAATGCAAAATTTAAAAATTGAAGAACATGAATGGTGATATGTCTGGGGTACGTACTCTCAGTGCCTGATAGGTCGGATAGACCCTCATTAACTCTATAATGCATACATAAGAAAAAAATGGCCAACCCCCCCCCCCCCCAAAAAAAAAAAAAACAAAAACAAAAACAAACACGTTTCAACGACCTTGTTTTTTCTCCATCTTAACATCATAAGTAGTCCGTACAAAAATGTCAACTTATATATATATACTTATAAGAGCGTCCGGTTTAATGATATTTGGTTCAACTATAATCCATTTAGTAACTAT